TGCCGTCCTGGCGTCTTCTTCCACAACATCTTCGTCCCCGCTTTCCTCCTCTAAATAAAAAATGGATGACGGAGGAGACTCATCCACGACCTCCGACACTAAACTCTCCTCCTCTTGCATGTTTCCGCTGTCCATAGCGTTCCTTGACAGCGTCGTTTCTAAGTCACCAATTTAGTGCTACTTGGTCCCAATGGAATTTCCCATTGGGAAGCTGCTAGCACTAAGTTGCTAACTGGTTAGCAAGATGCTTCCGACAAACCGGCCCATTGATAATCGACCAATCACATTCACTTTATTCAGTCGTGTAATGTCGGGCACCACTCGGGAGAATTCGGAAATGCGATGGTTGAAACAGCCGCTTCCCTACGACTTTAAGAATCAAATCTCTTTTGGAGTCTCAACATATTTTTCCTTATATTTGCTATTATTTTACATTTCATTGGCGATCTAAAGTAGCCGAAAGTAGAAAACAATCATTCCAAGTCTTGAAAGAAAGTAGTTCTAAGTGTTCTAAGATTGAGGTCACGAAGTTAAAAGTAGTGTAGCTTAATGTGGCTAACTGACCGAGCTAAAAGAGGCTAATCTGTTAGCGACTGAACACAGCTAGCCACAGCGCTACCCAGCTCTTTATATCATGGTCTAACAGTTACTTTGTTTACCAGAAACGGAATTTTTTCAGTTTCGTTAATAATCTGGTAAAACTTCATCGGCCATTAGACACGCTAACGCTACAGTATGCAGACTCGCCGTGATGTTATTTTCGTTGTCTGTGCAACCACAGCATTTTACATCATGTGGCAACGTTTAGCCAATCATGTAGCGTAACGTCACTGGCAGGAAGCAGGACCTGAGCAGATCTGGTTCCTACAGCGGAATTCCAGGAGTCTCCCTGATATAGATAGTTGTTCCACAAGTGCCCACAAGTCGAATAAATTATCCCGGATTTTAGACTATGCAAGGTGGTGTTTTCTAATGCGAGTGAGAGCGTGCAGACAGTAAAATAATTTGTGCAGATTAGAACTACTTCAATTGCACAGACAACGAGAGAGCGGTGTGAGGAGGAGGTTGCTTGAAAAACAGTGTATCTGTCCAAATCAATGCTCTGCTCAACAAGCTTTCCAGGCCACTCGTTGTCAGAGAGAGCGGGATCAGTCAGAAAAATAAGCCAAAAGGTTTTGGTTTACTCTCTCACCTAGTTACCACTCAAAGCTGTGCATCCTGTGAAACGGCAGTGGTTAAATCCTCGAGTAAAAAAACTAAATGTAGGACTCATTTTACAGCGGCATATACTAAAGTATATCGACGTCTAGTGAAGGTGCAGAATGATGAAGTGTGTATTANCAGCGTCGTTTCTAAGGCACCAATTTAGTGCTACTTGGTCCCAATGGAATTTCCCATTGGGAACCTGCTAGCACTAAGATGCTAACTGGTTAGCAAGATGCTTCCGACAAACCGGCCACAACCAAACTTGCTTGTGAATCTTCCGCCACAACAATCCCGCCCCCTTGATAATCGACCAATCACATTCACTTTATTCACTTGTGTAAAGTCGGGCACCACTCGGGAGAAATCGGAAATGCAACAGTTGGAACAGCCGCTTCCCTACGACTTTAAGAATCAAATCTCTTTTGGAGCCTCAACTTCGATTGCGCAGACAACAAGAGAGAGCGGTGTGAGGAGGAGGTTGCTTGTAAAGCAGCGTATCTGTCCAAAGCACTGCTCTGCTCAACAAGCTTTCCAGGCCACTGGTTGTCAGAGAGAGCGGGATTAGTCAGAAAAATAAGCCAAAAAGTTTCGGTTTACTCTCTCACCTAGTTACCACTCAAAGCTGTGCATCCTGTGAAATGTTTACCACATTTAGGGTTACATTTCTTAAGTGGTTAAAGAAGGACATTTGTTTCTAAAAAGTAATAAAAAAAATCAATGCACTGGCCTTTTTTCCACGTTTGAACATGTTTTTCTTCCATCCAGGAAGCTTTTTCAATTCAAAATGTCAGAAATAGCGTTTAGTTCCAGGTTTTATAGAGCGGACTAAAGCAAAGCCTTGTTTTTGTATAGAAAACATGCAAATAGAAACGGACGAACGGGTCCATCCATTTGGAATGGGGGTCGTTTGGCTTCTTTGTTATCCTGCAATGCCCCATACCTGACTATGTCTCTGGGAGGGGGGTCGTAAAAGGAAATTGTTGGCCTGGCTGAAGAGGTGAGGTCTTCTGTTCTCCTGTAAAGGGGTTGGGGCTGCGATGAGAGCGGGAAGGAATCAACTCTATTGCTGCATTGGAGGTTTTTGAAAGCTGAAATCTGAACCCCCTGTGTTTAAGGTTTTCTGTCTTATCATCGTTCCTCCATTTCAATTTGCATGTTTTCTAAACTAAAACCAGGCTTTGTTGGGCTGCTGGATAAAACCTGGAACTAAACGCTATTTCTGACATTTGGATGGAAAAATCTTTCTGGATGGAAGAGAAACGT